TAAATGCAATTATATCACTCTTTATTGTGCTACATATTTGTTCAGCTTATTAGCATACCCATCAAAGGAGAATTAGAAAGCTAATCAATTATTAATCATTTTAAATCGCTTCTTAAAACGTATATATATTCTTCGGATTTTAATTGAAGCAGTGTTTCACATTGTTTTAATTGGTGTTGTTTCCTGTAAAGCACTTTGGTGCAGTTTTATACCTGTTTCAAAGTGCTATATAAAAAAATTTGACATTCTTTCTGGAAAATAAAAAAGGTGGACTTCTCTTTGTCTAATGACTGTTAAACCAGGGAGAAAACACCTTGAAATATGAGGTTGAAGTTACAGAACCCAACTACTGAGCTAATAGAAATGAATTAGAATTACCCCAAAATCCTCAATCGCTGACAGAGAAGCAGCTTCTTTTACTAGAAACGTGAACAATTATATACTTCACTGATGATTTAGCTGCAGTTTTTACATACTAAGTATTTTCCAACCAGCTTCAAATGTTTAGATACATAAGTTACCATTAACATTAAATTAAATTACTGAGCAATAGTAATGAATCAGTCTGTTCTAAAATGCTCTTTGAAAAAAAGTCCCATGAAAGGTGAATTAAATGTTTTTACTATTAATCTAATATTTAAAAAAAATTGTATTTAAAGCTGTTTGTCAATCTTAGCAGGGACCTGCAACAAATTGCAGGTCCCTGCTAAGACCGTTAGGGGGAGCTAAATCCCTGCTCTATTAGAGGTAAAGATGAAGGCAGTTCATGGTTATTTATCTGGAGCTGTGATTCCCAAACTTTTCTGAAGGGTCCTTCTTTACTTTACAGGAACGTTTCTGTATCCCATCTATGTATAAAAACAATAATAAATTAAGCCACAATCTCTTAAATCTCAAAACTTCCACCTTTACAGCCTAAGTATTAAGTTCAACTGTTTATTTCTGTTATAGTATTCAGTATTGCTATTTATTCAGAAAAGAAGTAATTTCTTAAGTTTATTTATACCACGCACCCCACATTTTTGGATCCTAATCTAAAGCATTTCAGATCAGAAAATCTGCAAACTCATGCATATTCAGATTATTGCAGATATTCTTTTTCTTTCCATACCCTACATTAAAAAACTCTTTAGCTGCTAATGTGTTTAAGCTCCATCCCTACATCTACAAGGGGCAGAACTGCATCAAAGATGTTAGTCATATGCCTTCCTTTAAAGGGATAGTTCGGGATTTTTGACATGAATCTGTATGGCATCCCCATCACCAGTGTCATGCAATCACACTGTCTTACCCCTGGCAGCATCCTGTGAGCAGAGTTCTCGTCCAG